TTACAATTAAACTGTCAAAAATCAAAGACAAAGAATCTTGAAAGCAGCAAAAGAAAAAAGACCTATCACATACAAAGGAAGCTCAGTAAGGCTATCAGTAAACTCCTCTGCAGAAACTTTGCAGGAAAGGAGGGAGTGGAGTAATATATTCAATGTGCAGAAAGAAAAACTAAACTGTCAACCAAGAATGCTGCACCTGACAAACTAAATGTTACATGCTATCATTACAAAAAATAAAACCACACAATGCCCTTTTCTGTTCTACAAATTTTAGGAATACTAATTTGGTCTAAGTTCTTCGAGATGCTGTCACAAAACTGTCATCTTGAGACTTTATGAGAGAGATTTCTGGCATCAATCAAATGAGTTTTTGCTTCCCCTGATCTCTCTTTGGAGAGTAATGCTGTGCACATGTGTGTGTATGAGTGAAAATCTACAACTATGCTTTTCAATTCATTTCTTATCAAAGGTTGAGTGTGTGAAAGGAGAAATGTGGGCAAATTTCCATAGTGACAATTTCTTCTTTCTTTAAATATAATTTACTTTACTATCTTTTAAAAAAAAGGTGGAGTTCAGAAAGTGATTTTGTATATGTAGAGGTGATGCTAATAGGGGTTATGATGGGGCATAAAAAGAATGCTTAAGTTTAGAAACCTTGATAATATTTAATAGATATTAATCTATAAAAAAGAATTAAAAGCTTTGTAAATTTCAGTAAATCTTCTTTCACCTTCTCACTCTTAATCCAACGACAATACATTATCTTATTCATTTTATTTTCGTATTTTGATATTACACACTAAGGCAACTAAGAAAGGACCGTAGAAAGGAATGACAAAAAGCCATATTTTAATTTTCTATTAGCAGGATTTCTCATGCTTTAATTTCCAACTGATTTTGTAACATCTAATTTAGTTTACGGTGACCATCAATATTCAAAATACACTTTTGGTTTTCTTTTAACTCCATAAAGAGCTAGTATTTAAGTTTCACTGTGCACAAGATAGAACTACTGTATTCCACTTTTGTTGTCTAGTGATAAGTGATAAAGTGTGAACTTTCTTTGGTATAAAAAGGCCTCTGTCTATAAATGTGCATCTACTCATCTAATAGTGTTACACTTGAAATGCTTAAAAAATATAATTTTGTTCAAATTAGAAAAGAACAATCTTTTTAATGTTATGCATATACTATGCAGAGTAAGTTAATTATATTATAACTTAACTTATTATAATTATATTAACTTACCTTGGATAGTATATGTATCATATTAAAAATGATAAAATTCTCCATTTTTGTGGTAAGAATATTGTATCTTTTTCAATTATGACAAAATACATATAACATGAAGTTTATTATGTTAACCATTTTTAAGTATACAGTTGAAAAGTGTTAAGTATAATTCAAACTGTTATGCAACCAATTTTAACTTTTTTATCATGCAAAATTGAAACTCTATACCCACTAAAGAACTCCCATTTTCTCTTCTTCATACCCCCAGCAACCACTATTTTACTTTCTATGAGTTTGACTACTTTACATACTTTTTATCAGTGAAATCATACATTATTTGTGACTGGTTTATTTCACTTAGTATAATGTCTCAAAGGTTCATCCATGTTGTAGCATGTATCAGAATTACCTTTCTTTTGAAAAACTGAATAATATCCTATTGTATGTGTATACTACAATTTGTGTATCTATTCATCTATTGGTGGGCACTAGAGTTGCTTCCACCTTGTGCCTATTTTGAGTCATGCTGCTATCAACATGTGTATGCATCTATTGTTTTCCATTAAGCTAAGATATGAGACTTAGCAATTGCATAAGCTCCAAAATTTTAAACTTAAATATATTTTTAAGTTGTAATAATAGAACTGAATATTTTGCTTTTGCCTTTCTCCCTTTCTACTCTAAAACATTTCAATTATCATGATGTGGAAAAAGATCTCCTATTCAGAAAAGTCCTGTATTATGAAAGATAACACGAATTTCAGGACCATTTGAAAAACTTTACATCCTAAAATAAGCCAGGATTCTGTTTCGTTTTAATCTAAGGCTAAAACTTCTGCTTTTTATTCAGATTTATCCACACAACATTCCATCAGAATTTTCTACTGTCTTACAATAATTTGAATCATATATAAAGCCTTCTTTGTTCTGGAATGTGAATTGTTCTAAAAGTTGAACTCTTTTGCATTTTTACATATTTTATTATTGCAAGTAAAACTCCACTCACTTTTTAAAATATTGTCTATGAGATTTATATTTTGACAATTTACATTGTGGGGGTCCCAGTGCAATATTCACATAAAACACACAACATAGTTAAGTAAAAGAGAATATTTTATAAACCTCTTATGCCAGTCCTGCCTCCCTTGGTTCCAAGCATGATAAGAGTTAGTGTTGCCATGCAGAAAACAATTTTTACTTCCATTGAGCCAGTTTCATGGTCATTTGGTGTCCAGGATAGATTTGCTTTAAGGCCAATCCGAGTGATTTCTGCCTTAATGGATGCCTGGTCCTCTCTGGTAATGGGAAGGGCAGAGAAGTTGGTGCCCATCTATGCTGTTTTGGTGTTCACAAGATTCTGATATATTTCCTGTAACCGAAATACATCTTCAAAACTGCATCATGAGGGCAGACATTTTATAAAGATCATGGCCCAGTGTCTATTGCATAAGTGAAAAAGTTGCCCATATCATGTCCAGCATCCCTGATATTATTTTTATTTCACTGTAAAAGTAATTCTTAACTTGTCTGCTTTCACCTTGCCTGCAAAAGTTGTTTGCATATGTGTTTGTGGCTGTATTAACTTTTGACTCATGGTTGAATTGCCAGATGATACCAGATCTCTCCCTGCACTTTATAAAAGAAACATTATTAAATACAATAAATGACTTATTTGTTATCATTATGCCTTTGAATGTATGCACAATTTTCTCAGGGAGTCTCTCTTAGGGATTTATTAGGCATACAAACTCTCTCATATGTGTACACTGTAAGGATATGCAATTCAAAATAAGTAATTAAAAAACAGATGCACTATCAAAAAAATGCATGTGTACAAATGTTTAAATATTTAAAACTGGGTTTGCAGGACTTGAACGTGAAAGATTTCTGCTATAAAACTAAGCAATGTCTGGCTTGTATAACATTTGGAATCAGCCTCAATGTATGTTTTAAATCTTGACTACTCAGATATCAGACAGGCACTTGTCCTTTCACATCTGCTTTGTCCAGCAACTTTATTACCTCTCATTATTGTCACTGAGCTGTATGAAACACTGAAACGGTCAAAGAGCGCTTTTATTCTCATTTTTAAAATAGAAAGTAGGTGACTTCCACAGAAATATACAAATGGGTAGAGTCAATATATGATTAAAAGCTTTATGTTTTGATAACAAAGTATTACATTTTAGATTTGATTTAGTTTGACCCATGATCTGACAGGGCTACAGAAAAGGGCATATATGAAACAAAGATAATTATGTTTTGTCCATCAACTCTTTCCTTCAGTCATTTATGGGGACTAAGATTCCTTCCCAGTTCTCAGCCCTTGAGAAAAGGAGTTATAATCTTCAGAAAAAGGCCACCTCTAACCTGCCAAAGAGTTCGGTAATATTCTTCTGTTGTAGAATATGACGTATTCTTCTGTTGTAGAATATACACTTTATATCTCTGCAATAGATTAATACATTAATGTAGTCACTCATATTTTAAAAAGCCCTATTGTAAAAATGGGTATTCATATATATCTAAGATAAGGGAGCAAAAGAAATATATTTTAGAGAATTTCTTAGAGACAGAAGAAAAATATCTGCTTTTTAAGAAGAAAAAATTCTGTCACAGAAGCTGCTAGCTTAAAAAAACTTAACTGTGATAACAATGATTGATTATTACTTAAGAAACAAACAAGAAAAAATAAAAAAATGTAGCAACTAATAGTCATAAAATGCCACAAGTAAAATAAACATTTTAATATATTGTAAAATAAACATAAAAATAATTATACAAATCCAAGTTCATGTACCATTCCCAATTAAGGGAAATCCTTAAACAATATGAATCAGTTTAATAATTTTTTGTAAAAATAGCTATATGTTTTCTCTGTGATCTTTAATCCTACCACTGTGCAATATTATGCAAATGCCACATCTTCTTTTACATTTGGTTTGTGTTTTTTTTTTTCATTTCCTTGAACTTCCTAAATTTTCCTCACCGCTTTTATAAATCCTATAAATGATCAAACTACTTAAATTCATGGGAATGTACAAATATTTATTTAAATAAATTGAATTACAATAAGATTTTTTTTTTTTTTTGCTTTCTTATTTATTTTTTTAAAAAATTCCAGAATGGGTAAGAGAACAATCATCAAGGATGTAGGTGCCAGACACAGGGCAGAAGGTAGCTAGAAAAGTATGCCTTAGGGAAGTTATGGATCTAGCCTCATTCCTACCTTGTTTTAATAGCTGTACCTAATATAAATAGCTAAGTTTTCCATTATTCTAGATTCCTTTGCCCCATCTACAAATATGGCACAGCCAGCTTGACTTGTAGGGCCTCAGTTGAAGGACCCCATGTACACACAGGCCAGTATAGCAGTACTAGGCTAACTAGAAGGATCTTATCCCTATGTGTGGTCTCATTTCAAGTCTATGGATGACTACCTTCATTGTTGTGTGAGAGATGATTTCACCCCTTGAAAATATAGCCACTTCAGCATAAAATAGTTAAATCTTTATAATGACCAATTCATCCAACCTCCTTTTACATGCAGCCGAAAATATGACAGGCTAGAGACATAGAACACTGAAATTTATACTGTTAGAATCACTGTCCATTAAATGATCACTAGCTAATGGTCACTACATTTACAAATTAAGAAAATTATATATAGAATACTGCAAAAACACAGTAAAAAGACTGAAGTTTGCCCATTTCTGCTCAGGAAGTCTCTTCGCTCCTAAGCTTCATATGTCGTCCTTCTGGCTTCAAAATTTCTGCTATTATTACTGTTTTTCCTCCTTTTGATCTTCCTTTTGTTCCCCAGTTCCAGAACTTCCAGAGCTTTCTCACTCAGATGCCATCTTTTTGTATGCCATTTCGAAGAGCTTCAATGATGCCTGCTGAAGAGCGGTTGCTGCCTGTGTAATGTTTTCTCCTGTTTCACTGTCTTTTCTAGCCAGGAGCTCCCTCATTTTGGAAATCTCTTCTTTCAGCTTGTTGCACTCATCAGCAGGCAATTTGTCCTTGAATTCTTCCATTTTGGTTTCTGTGTCTTGAATGATTCCTTCAGTCATAATAACTGCTTCAACTCGTTCCTTCTTTCGCTGATCTTCCTCAGCATATTTCTCTGCATTTTTAACCATATTTTCAATATCATCTTTGCTTACCCACCAGAAGACTGGATTGTAATCTGCTGCTCACATCCTGTGCCTTTATCTTTAGCAGAAACATGTGTGATCCCATTGGCATCAATGTCAAATGTAACTTCAATCTGAAGAACTCCACAAGGCGCTGGTGGAATTCCAATCAAAGTAAACTGTCCAAGGAGTTTGTTGTCTCCAGTCATCTCTCGCTCACGCTGACACACTAATTTCCACTTCTGTCTGACCATCAGTGGCAGTAGAAAACACCTGGCTCTTCTTGGTTGGAATAGTGGTATTCCTATTAATAAGTTTGGTAAAGACAACTCCTAGACTTTCAATACCCAGAGACAGGGGAATGACATCAAGGAGCAGCACGTCCGTGACATCACCAACCAATACACCTCCCTGAATGGCAGCTCCAATGGCCACAGCCTCATCAGGATTGACAGCTTTACTTGGGGCTCTGCCAAAAAGATCCTGCACAGTCTGCTGAACCTTGGGCATCCTAGTCATGCCACCCACAAGAACCACTTCTCCTACATCACTCTTGCTGACTTCTGCATCTTGCATAGCTTTTTGGCATGGAGCTATTGTCCTCCTGATTAGATCAGTGACAATCCCTTCATATTCGGGTCAACTTCATATTCAAATGCTTGGGTCCAGAAGAATCCATTGTAAGATAGTGCAAATTGATGTCAGTCTGCCTTTTCAGCAGCTTTCCGTACCCTCTGAAGTGCCATGTTGTCTTTGGTCAAATCAACCCATCTCTCTCTCTTGAACTCCTTCACAATGTGCAAGGCCTGGTCAGTCTTCCCCGCCTAAGTGTCCCCATTTGTGGATTTCACCTCGAATACTCTTTCTGAATTTCCAGGATAGAAATATCAAAAGTTCCACCACCTAAATCATATACAGCAACGACTTTGTCTTCTGATTTGTCTAGAACATAGGCAAGAGCAGCAGCTGTGGGCTCGTTAACCACCTGAAGCACATTCAGTTCAGATATCTGGCCAGCATCTTTAGTGGCTGTCTCTGCGAGTCTTTGAAATAAGCTGGGACTGTGATCACAGCATTTTTTGCTGTGTGCCCCAAGTAATTCTCTGCAGTCTCTTTCATCTTCATCAACACAAATACTCCAATCTGACTTGGAGAATACAGTTTCCCCTGAGCCTCAACCCAGGCATCACCATTGGAGGCACGGACACTTTTAAAGGGAACATTTTTAATGTCTTTCTGTACTTCAGGATCATCATATTGCCGGCCAATGAGACGCTTGGTAGCATAAAATGTATTCTTTGGGTTGGTGACAGCCTGTCGCTTGGCCGGCATTCCAACAAGTCGCTCACCATCTGCTGTAAAGGCCACAGTTGAAGGGGTGATTCTGGCACCTTCGGCATTCTCCAGCACCTTTGCTTGTTTACCTTCCATAACTGCCGTGCAGGAGTTGGTAGTACCCAAATCAATACCAACAACTGCTCCCTTGATTGCTTCTGATGCATAATCCCGCCTTGAAACAATTGCAAAAGCCTCATGACTAAGGCCATTCCAGCCATCCTGGGCCCCGGGAGGCTGCGTGCCAGGAGACCGGCTGCTGCAACTCCGCGGGAGCTTATGCTGGTGGATAGATGGAGTACCAGGCAACAAACAGGCGCTCAGTCGGCCGGGAGCTGCGCGGTGAGGTGGTGGCAGCGCTTCTGGAAACCTACAATAAGATTTTTTTTTAAGTATCTGTCATTGTAAACCTCAGACAATGTTCACTTAAGTCTTTTTCTGCTTTAGCTAACTGGGTAAAAATTTAAATGTCATTTTTTCCAAAAATGTTTGATCTATACATTAATTTTCTCGTTTGATAGTTTTAACTTACATTATGTGAATATAATTAATTAACTTTAAGACCTTGAACTAATGAAAGATTGAGTTAATGCATGAGAATTAAGACGCTTAAAATTAGAAAAGAAAAAAAAAAGACAATGAGAACAATCTAGGTCACCAAGCATGGTTTTAACTCATATATCCATGTTTTATAAAATATTTTTGCTATTTATAAAACTATTGTCAACTAAGGAAACTCTAGCTTTAATGTGGTAGATATATTTCTGCTGACAAGATTTGCATATTTGCGCTTATGTGTTGCATGTACATTTCAACACAAATATAGGCTATTATTATTCAACAAAGTTTATGAATGATAAAAAGGAAAACTCAATCGTTCGGAAGACAACTGGTCTCAGTCTGGTGTTGACAGGCAGTGGCAGAAAGGCACCTCAGGCCTACTTATTTATCCAGATAGTACATATTCTTTTAATTGTCAGGCACTGTTACTTCCCAACAGACTATTAACCTTTTTGGTTTTGTTATTGTTAACAAAGTTTCATGCTTTTGAAAATAGCTAGAATTCTTAAACATTATTACTTGCTACTGCATTTATTTTGAATATTCTCATGCTAAACAAGGACTGGAGTCATTTCTTGTTATGCTGTGGATACTTATGACTTACATTCATAGCTTTACATAACATGGGCTGTCAGGCCTCAAATTCAGAATAATATAACTGTGGTTTTTTTTTTTTTACATACAATTTTTTGGAGATTACTTTTTGGTCATTGGATAACACCAAGTTTTACTCTCTCAGCTTCAAAAGTAACGGAGGCCATATGTAACTAGATATGTTTGGTATTTCCCATTTTTATTAGTTCACTACTGTGATGAGCTGTCTTTTCATTTAGCCACAATATGAGAAAGTCTGCTGTAATGTTTATTTGATTTAACTAGATGGACATCTCTTTCCCCAAGGGTGCCCAGATAGCTAGTAAAACATCATTTCTGGGTACTTGCCTGTGAGGGGGTTTCTGGAAGAGATCAGTATTCGGTAGACTGAGTAAAGATGATCACTCTCCCAAAATGTCGATGGGCATTGTTCAATCCATTGAGGTCCTTAATAGAACAAAAAAGTGGAAGAAAGGTGAAATTGCTCTCCTGTGGAGCTGAGACATCCAACTTCTTTTGCCTTCAGACATCAATGATTCTAGTTCTTGGGCCTTTGGACTTGGACTGGGACTTACACCAATGGCTACCCTTGTTCTCAGGCCTCTGGGCTTGGATTGGCTCTATACCACTAGCATTCTTGGGCTTTCACCCTGCAGATGGTAGATTGTGGGACTTTTCAGCCTCTCCTATGTTATCACATCACAATCCCTCATAATAAATGTCTTATTTCCTATCTATCTGTCTATCTTATTGGTTCTGTTTGTTTCAAGACCCTGACTGATACATCTGTCAAATCAAATAAAGGAGTTAAACGTTCCCTAGGTCTATTGTGTAAATGTAAAATCTTATTCAAATGAGTAAATTTCAATGTATTTTTCAGGATGAATGGATGCATACACATGTTCATGTGCAAAGATTGGCATAATAATTTTCATTAAGTTGATATTATAGAATATATTGTTTCTTGGTTTAAAAATACCTTTGTTGATTGATTGATGGCATTTGTGAAACACAGTTTACTGGATGATTCAGAAGGCATGAGAAGTTTGTTGATGTCTTCACTATCCATAATATGTTACTGCCTTCAGGGTAATCAGTAACTAAAAGTATGTTAAATAGTTTATTATTATAATATCCCCAAACAGGATTTTATAATCCTCCATTCTTATGTTGTTCATTACTATAATAAATTAACCAGAAATATTTAGTTTTGAAGAATGATAGCCACAATAAAAGACTGTGTCATGTGCTCTTGACAACTTATACTTCACATACCATCTTATAAGTACAGGATTCCCAGTGGGGAAGATGGCACTGCCATGAGCACCCACCGTTAGTCTGTTCTGAGGCAGAGTCAGCATTTTCAGCACTCTTAGTCCAGATGATGTCTTCAAAACGGTATACTACTAACCTAAGATCAATCAAACAAGAAGCAATTATATAGAAAACATAAAATGAGTGTGGGAAAACCTGTGTGATTTTTCTTTTTACAGTATTATTGGCCTTGTTTTTAAAATTCTGTTTTCTGATAGGTGTATGAGAAAATTTTCTCCTTTATCTGTTAGTCTCACTATAATTGGTTGTACTTATATGAAGTGAAATGAAGCATTTTTTAAAATGATATTTTAATTTAAATGACCCTTGGGAATTCAGGAAAACTATTCTAATATTGGAATATTAAAGATTCTAGAAGGTTCTAAATATACAGTAAAAAGTCATGCTTAACTAAAAAATTTCCACACACCTATGCTTCAGAATCTACATTGTTTAACATCTATTAACATCTCTCAGAACTCTAAGGTTCTCAAAACATAACTGAAAAATATTGCAGTAGGTTTCATCTATCCTTAGATTTTTAGAAATGTTTCCTCCAACATGTATTAGTCCTTAACAAATTTCTTTTTATTTGACTTTTTCAAAAGACTTGAAAGGGAGGAGAAGTCCTCAGCTTCAACTCCTTATGTATTAGTAGAGAATTGCTATAAATATAATTATAAATTATTGATGGACCCAAACTGCTGATCAGTCCATTTTAAACTACAAATGTGCTATAGTTTGGCTTGAGTCACTTAAAAGAAATATTAAGTTAGCACTGAAGAATCAGGAGATTTTGATTTCTGGCACAACCTGATAAACTGAAACATCTGCCAGTGTTAGGAATGCCTTTCTTCATGGCAACACTCGGCTATAGCTAAGTAGTGTTGCTGCATGTAGGAGGGGACATACCGGAAGAAACTCCTGCTGTTGCACTTATGTTTTCAGCCTAGCTCCTGTAAGCATGTTGGTTTATAATCACTAATTGTATAGTAATTGGTCTTAGTCCCTTCTCAATAAATGGAAAAGTTTTAAACAGAAAGTATACAAAACTAAAGCTTATAGCCTCTGTAGAGATAAGTCAATAATAACACAGAGAGTTTCATCTTACTAGAAAATGAACAGTATTAAAAATGTCTCAGAGTAAAACTAAGATGCCCATTTTAATCAATCATAACAAAATATATATAAAGAGACTATCAGAGCATTGTAAGGAAAAACTAGCAGCACTTCAAAGTAAAGAAATACTCTCTTTATGTCCACATAAGTTTTTCAGAAAGTAGGATAAAAACTCATGTTCGTTTTTCTTCATTTAATAGACATTTTTACACAGCTCTTACAAGTTAGAGACTATGTATTGGAAACCACTTGACGACTGCATTATGAAAGTACTTGATTGGGTGTATTTGGAGGGGGTGAGAAGAAAAAGTGAAAACTAGTAAGTTAGCAGCATACTTTATATCAAAAACAGTCACTTTCAGCCACAAATCACAGATAGAAAAAAAATCACCTATCAAAATATATAGGGAGCCAAGAATTAGAAGAAATCGTAAAATTCTGTGAATGAGTATGGAGCTAAAATTGGTCATAGCCTAGAGTTATTCTTTTTTCACTGAAACAGAATTTTAACTTTTGACTATTTTTTTCCCAAATAAATAGTAGAAAAGATAATTTGCAGATAAACATTTCAATCATTTCTGTATGCAGAATAAGTTTTGAGAATCCCAGCTACGACTTGACATATTAATTTTGTTAGAGTTCAGTTTCCTTATTGAAAATAAATCATTAAATTTCTAATTTGGTGGTTTCTTTCATCCAAAATACAGTAACTAGACATTAAGATTCTGAGAAAATTTATTGTAAAAATGTTTTAAAAAGAAAAAATGTTATGATATAGAGGTAGAATTATTTCTAATTGAAATATTTTTTCAAAGTATTCCATAAGCACTGGGCTACCTAAATACATTTTGAAGAATTTAAAGATTATTCTAAACGTTTTTGAGAACTTCAGCAACTGAATGAGTAGTTAGTCCTTTCTCTCACTTTAATCAAACATTTTCAGTATGAATTCATTCACTCAATTCTAAGGGCCATATCCTTTGAAATTATTCATAAATCTTCTATGCCCTACTGTACAGAAATATAAAATTTAACAACACTTTTTAAAGTCTTGAGTTATACTATCCTGAATTTTTAATAGAACTCTAGATTGAATATGACATCCAGGATCCTTTGGAAACTATTAAAAATTTGCAAACACATTTTGGATGAGACTTTCTGAAGTGTTAACACATATGCATTTTTAGACACTCTAATTTATTTTTCAAAGAAAATATTCGTTACTTTTTTAGAAATAAGCCTGTAATCTTTAGTAAAATTTTTCTCTATTGGTAATATACTCTATAACCTTGAACAAATTATTTACTTGACTAAGTTTTCAATTAACCGCATAGATAATTAAGATGATGAGTTTTCGAGCTTTTTAAAGGCTGAAATTAATTATATATCAAAGTTTCAGTAACATACATTTTAAACTTCTTATTTTGAAGTAATGTTAAATCTCAGATATAGTAGAGTTTCTACATACCCTTCACTCAAATTCCTTTAATTTTAATATTCTACATTGCTATAATATATTTATCAAAGCTAAGAAATTAATGTAATTGTAATATTATTAATTCAAACTTCAACTTGGATTGAATTTCACCATTTTTACCAATGCCCTTTTTCCATTTCAGTATCTAATCCGGGATACCACGTTGCATTTAGTTGCCATCTCTCCTTAGTCTCTTTCAATGTATGACAATTTTTTAGTCTGTCTTTCATGACTTGGACACTTTTGCAGA